TCTCTGTCCCAAAAATAAATAAACGTTGGAAAAAAAAAAAATTAAAAAAAAAAAAAAGTCAAACACGAGCGTTTAAGAGTGAGAGAAAATTCCAGACTATGGCAGGTAAGCACCCTTTGGCAGGATTTTCACAGCATCACAAACAGGACTAAGACAACCTTCTGGAGGGTATTCGGTTTAGATGAAAAGCTACCCCTTCAGAAAGAAGGAACTTTCAGTAATGGTTCTTGGTAACTTATCAACTCTACTTTTCCAGAGACACTTTCCCGGTCTTCGGGGCCACTTTGCCACCAGTGCCTCTTTGATATGCCAACTGTTTAAAGGCGGCACTTAGTCTGGGAGAAGGGGACTGAGTGAAGGCTGCTGTGCACGTAACTCCTGTGCCTGGGAATTCAAAGGGCACAGCAAGTCTCCGCCCTTTAGGGAGAGCGACTTTTATATTTTTAACATAGCGCTCTCCAGATAATGTGGCTGGAGCTGAATAAAATGCTGTTTAAGAAGATGGGGAGGGAGGAAGAGATGGAAAGTGGTATTTTGAGACCCGGAAGAAGGATTTTTATGTGCAGTATATACCGTGACCCCTGATTTTGTGCCAATTAAACATTCCGTGTACAGTGATGGCTGGGGGCTTTCGGAGCACCGATGTTAAGAACTCCCGGGTGTAACTCCATGTTTCAACCTCTTGGCCTTGCTTCCTCTTCACTATATCACTTCGTTATATACATCTATACATTGTATACGTTACCAGCTCAGCATCCACAACCCCTGGTCTCTTGCACTTAACCCTTAATCACTTATTTCCAAAAATGTCGTGTTAAGGATTAATGCTTCATACCAACTTTTGCCCTTCTGTGAATCTGCAGTAACCAGTTTTCTAGGACCAATGTGAATTGAATCCAGAACATTAAATCATTGCTCTTGGCACAAGAAAACCCACAGAGCTTATGGGAATACTGGGACTAAGGGGCACAGCAGCCCCAAACTTCATCACTGATATGGTCTAAAAAAAAAAAAAAGAGGAACCTAACAAAAATAGCAGTAGTTTTAAGCGTTGCTAAGTGGCCAGGAAATGGACAAATACCACAATAAATGTGGCAGGTTATCGTGAAGAGGACCTGAAGGGTGCCTGTGGTAGGAAACACTGGAAGGGGCTGTGTCTCTGGGACTGTTGTGAAGTAGAGCAAGGAGTGATTTGAAGTCAGACGTGAGGTTCTAACCCCAGGTAGAGCCCAGGGTGAATGCCCACATGGGGAGAAACCTAGGGAGTTGGCGATGTTTGAGGGGTGCATGGCTTGCGTATTCCTGTGTGGCACCGTTCGGCCAGGTGCACTTTTCTGTGTCCACCTCGTGTTCCTCGTGGACTCAAGTGCACACGACTAAATGGGAAAAGTACATCATGCCCGATCCTTCCCTCACGTATCAATCGCGTTAGAAAAATACGCATTTCAAAACGAGTGCTGTAGCCAAACGGACTGTGTTTGCTAACCTGACCCCGATGACGGTGGAATGCTCTAAGAGAGCCTTCCGTCCGCCGGCGGTGGCCCAATAAGAGTTTCAAAAAATGCTGACATAGAACTGTGGTTGGTAAAAATGGAAAATAAAATGATATTTATAGGGTATTCACTGAAGAGATTTCTTTTCTCTGTTCATCTTACAGCAAGTCCATTTTGGTGTGGAAGTTTCCATTGTTTACTAATAAAATAATTCACAGGTTGAAGGCAAAGCTCTAGGTAGTGAAGAGATTCGGTTTTACTTGTCCTTCTTCAAGGTGCAGCTAAAGGTACTCTTAGTACGGAGCCTTTAAATTTATTTGCATTAGAGACAAACCCAGTGGAGACAGAGGAACGAGGGATCCACTTTGTGAGTCATCAAAGTGCTTTATTTTGTAAAGCCTGGCTCATGACTGGAGTGTATTGTTAGCACTAGGAGATACAAGGCAAACTTCCTCACTCTGTCCAAATAGTTTATCGACAGAAATGAATGACAGAGACTGTTACAGACAAAAAGAAAGCATTTTGTAAACTTCTAAAAGCATACGCACACTGGCCACAAAGGAAATAGTTACTCAAATAATGTATGGGTACCTTATCTTTACTTCAGGGTCTCACCTCTGTAGTCTTGGGCCAAAGAAACCACAGTATAACTTCAGAATACTCGAACTGACTTGATTCCAGAATGAATGGGGGGGGGGGGGGCAAACCAGTCTCGATTAATTCAAATGCGTAAAATACGGATTCGGACAACCATGTCATGGTGGTGACACCATCTACCGTGGAGGACGAACCCGGGGGAAGTCCATAATGGTACGGTGGTGTTGCTGGCCTCCGAAGGTCCTGACTTGCCATCAGCACGTGTTTTCTGAAGTAAACCCACACACACTGGGCACAGTTGCAGCCCTGATAAGCCCTGAAGTAAAGTCATTGGAAGAGGCAGTATGGCAGGGGGTATTTGTGAGTTGTAAGTAATCACTGGAGGGTGGATTTTTTTTTTTTCTTTTCTGAAACTGCCTACAAAAATCATCTCATGTTTTAAACAAAGAATTTCAAAGGCACAGCTTTAGCACAGTGTATAAGTTGATAACCTACTCTAAGCAAGTCTAATATTTTAGCTTGACGCCTTTCAGAAAATGCCAGAAAGTTGGTAAATACATGATCGATGTTGAAAATTTATAAACTGATTAAAACACAGTCAGCACAGTTTAGGGCAATGAACTTACATAACCAGATTTGGGTTAAACATTAAAAAAAAAATCATCGGGTTGATAAATGTACATCTGGAGGAAACAAAACCACCTTTTACTTTCATTGTAGAAGACTGCCTACCGTGTACTTTGAATAAAACACTCACCCAAAAACATGACTGCAGGGTACATTTCAAAATATGACAAACATTATTTCACCTACACTGTAAAATGACTTTACATGTAAACTTCAAAAATCACATGCTGTACATTAAATTTTTAGATTCAAAAATATCCCTGTTTTCCTAATAATGTAAACAGTAAAATTGAGGGTTTCAGTTAAAGGGATAATTCATAACAAAATACCACTGTTTAAACAATGGTCAAACATAAACATCTTCTAATTTAGATCTGCCATCCATCGTTAACAGGAGAGTTCAGAGTTCTAATGCTTTGCTCACCTTCCCACAGTAGGAGATGTAGATACCATTGCCCGAAACTATGCACTTTTCAGGTAAGCTTTATTTTTATTTTGTAGCATAAATTCCTATATTGCAACATAAGAGTGTAACAGTGAAGAAGCTCCAGGCAAGAAAAGAGAAGCAGTTTTCCTGGACATACTTACTGAGGTGAAAAATGTACATAAAGGTAAGAGTCACTAGGGGCATCAGCTTCTTGCTGGAGGAGGGGCATTTGTTCCCGGACCCCGGGGGGCCCCCGCTGGACACCGTGTGGAGGCGGAACCCTGAAGCAGGGCACGCCCCCGCCTGGTGCCAGGGGCCTGGGGCACAGCTGTTAAGGAGCGTCAGCGTGCGTGGTAGAAATGTAACATTCGCAGTAAGTTTTTTCTTTTAATCACCATCATTATTATCATTATTATTATCTTCATTATTATTATGAATACTGTCACATCTTTCAACTCCAAAAAATAAACTGATCCACAGTTTATCGTGTGATGCCAACATGGTTGGTCTGACATGCATTTCCTTCATCCCCTCCCCCCGCATGTGCTCATTCATTCATTCATTCGTCCACAGCTGGAATCAGAGGGTTGTTGCCCAAACACCCCCTGACTGAAGCTGATCGGTTTTCATTAATTAATTAATTAATTTTTAAGACACGCACGCGCGCGCACACACACACACACACACACACGTGTCAGAAATAGCTAGAACGATGCTGGGAAATATCAGGTAGCTGTTAAAGCGAGTAGCCTCCAAATCAGTCATCTTGGCCCGAAGACGTAAACGAGGAGGTGTGCTTCACTGAGTTTGGTTTTCATTTTTCTTACGCCGAAGCCACCTCTGTCCTTCCCATGCTCATGTCCGTCCAAGGTCATGTGGGAGGTTACGTCAAGATGTGGCCAATAAAGTCCAAAAAGCGCTTTGAATACTGTTCTGGGTTCACGGTCGAGATCTCTGCACCAGCCTAGGCAGATGGAAAGGAGAGGAATATCGATATAATCACTACTCAGTACGTAGAGCATTTTTTTCAGTTGCAGCTAAACATAAAGCTAATAACAATAATCTGTGCCCCGTTCTTAAAACAGAACTCGGAATTCTATCTTGGATATTGCATCTGAATATCTGGATGGTCCAGGTTCTTAGGATCTGTGTGAAAACGAGGCAGAGAGGCTGAACCACAGGTGCCGTTATCGCACATACCGTGACTGTAGCAACTGAAAACACCACCTTGAACTAGCCACGTCTGGGACGTTCCTTTCAAACAGTGGACTCCGTGTGGCCTACATTCGGAAGCCACGTAATCAATGTTTGTTTTTCAGGAGAACAGATTGGAGATACCTCGAGAATGACACCAACAGCAACATTTGGCTGAAGGGGAGTTCCACCGACAATGACCTAGGATTGCGTTTCTCTTCCAGGACCCGGGTAAGCGGCTGAGTGCTCAAAAGAGAGGGGTGACAGCAGCAGCAGGGTCTGTGTCAGCTGGCACCGTAACCAGGTGGGACGTGAGGCTGCCGATCGCACCTCCCCCAGCAGGGCACAGCAGTGCCATTGTTCCCCTTCACAGTGACCGGCTCAGAGCAAGGAAGCAGGGGCCCCTCGAGGAGGCTCAGTGGGGGGCTTCCTATTACCAGAGGCGATGCTGGCGACCAGACTCGAGGTCTGGAGTTACCAGCCAGTTTCCTGAGCTGCAGAGGGCAAGACCAGTTTTACTAAGTCACCAGGTGCTATTTTTAGACACCCACAGTCACCGGGGAGCCTGTAATTTCCATGCCTGGCCTGGGCCGCCGGGATCTCCACGGACGAGCCCGGGCCTCGAAGGCAGAGAATAGTTCCCAGCAGCTCCGCACGGCATTCCTTTGCTAAGAGTAATGTCTTGCTCCTGCAGATGCAAACTGTACACGGTTGCAGGCCGTGTGGCGTATGACGGAGCTGGGCTGGTGCCTTCCAGCGGAGACTCGAGTGGAGCCACGTTTGCCACGGCAAATTTCCAGTTTCACATGGCGTGTGATGGTACGGTGAGAATGGGGAAAGAGGGGAACGAACACGGAGCACCTCCCCGGCGCTCGGCCTGGTCGCCTCACGTCTCCTCCACAAGACCCCTTCAGCAAGGCAGTGGGGCTCCCTTCTTAGTGAGGGGACCTGAAGCTCTCGAGGTTACACGGCCGGGAAAGCTGAAATCGGGGTTCTGAGCCAGTTCTGTCTCTGTAGTATGCCCGTGGTTCGCCATCAGAGGTGAGCATCGGAATGACTACAGAGCCGTTGGGGGACCTCCCCCAGCTTCTTGGCCCGGACTCAGAATCGGGGAAGGGGACGGTGCGTCTGGCACGCACGCACTTCACAAATGCCATGCGGGAGGCTGCGATGGCCGCAGGTGAGAGCCGCCGGGTGCCCTCCTCTCACCGACGCAGGCGTTCCGGCACTTTCACTGGGCCGGGGGAGGTCTTGGTCATGCTTTGCACGCGGCTGGAATACCGTAAGTAGTAGCTGATGGTGCAACTGAAATGTTTCTTTGGCAAACAGAATATGGTTTTGGGCTGGTTCCCTTGCTGGGAGGGCAGCCTAGCCTGTTTGATTGTAAAATACAGAAAAAGAGCCTTTAATAGAGGCTGATGTTCTGGTGTATCCTGGCTGGTTGTACACACTACTGCTCCTTCTTCCAGTGTGAAGAAGCCAAGACACGAGTCTGTCTCTATGGGATGGGGTCTGCAGCTTTTTTAGCAACACCTGGAAAGCCAAAATGAATCTCTACGATACAAGCATAATGGATACTCACCACCTGGGAGGTTCAGCCAGGCAGGTGGGATTTGCTGGTAGGGCATGGGGCCGGGACTGGCACAGAGCAAGGGGCTGGGCTAGGTCCTGGGGAGCAGTCCCATTTCTACCACTTTCTAGTGCCGTGACCCTGACAAGTTACCATTTACGCTTTCTTCCTCAGTTTCTTCAACTGATAAACAGGGATACAGGCTTGTCATGGGGATTCAGTAAGTCAACATATGCCTAGAATAGTGATAATTTAGAGCAAGAACAATAAAGGTGAGGAATTTATGTTATTAAACTTGGATCTTGCACCCAAAAGCTTTCTGTAATAAAAAATACACAATTCGCTGTGCAAAAAGAAAGATAATACTGCATATCTGGAAAGTGTCTGAAGCACAGAATAGTGCTTCAGTTCTGAACATTTTACAGTTTTGAGGATTCATCTTAAAACACTTAGTTATCTTCACTTTTGTCTTTGAAGCATTTTTCAAACAAAAACGAATTCGCACAATATTCTAGAGATGCACGTGTGTGCTAATACCCCAGTGTGGAAAAAGACGACTGGCCGCTGAGTTGAAGTGCCCAAAGCGTAGGGAGTCGTGGTGGGAGCTGGTATTAGCTGTTGGCATTTGCCGGCTCCAAATCTCGCACTCGGAACATGACCCCCCCCCGCAAGGTAACAAGAACCCCTGAGAGACTCTGGACAGCTCAGTGAGAGGGAGGCAACCACAGCTGGTCCCGGCACTCCAGACTGCAGCAAGGGCCCAAGAGCAGAGAAGGAAACAAAGTGGAGATACTTACGCCATGTTTAACAGTTTTTGCAGCGTGGGCAGCTTTCTTTTTTGCATCATAATGAGTCAAAATGTCAATAATTGCCATAAAGTACACCTCTTTCCTGGGCGAGTCTGTAAAGGGATGAGAGAGAGCAGTGATTGTGGGACAAACGACGCCACCTGGAGAGGCACGTCCTGGGGGTGAGGGACTCAGGACAGAACAGGGTTTGGAGGAGTCTGAAAACTAAGGCCATGTCCATGTAAGTTCAAACACATTCTAAAAAAAAAAACTTTTACTCCCTCCTCCATGTTTTATGCAGTAGAGAGGTGGGCAGACTGTGTGAGGGGACTGGGAGAGACCGGCTTCCGGTTATGGGAGGAACAAGTCACGGAGCAGAAAGGCACAGCGTAGGGAACACACCAGTGACTCGGCACCAGGGCTGAGAGGTGGGCAGGTGCGGGCACGGCAGAATCACTGTGTTGTCCACCGGAAGTTAACGTTAACACTGTGTATCAGCTATCCCCAAACACAAAAAAAGTTAACCGATAAATAAAATAGTAATTTGGAAAAAGCATCCACGTAACTCCTGCATATCCCTGTTAAACAGCTTAACTTTCCCCGATTCTTTCTCAATTCAAAAAGTAAAAAAGCATCACCCTAGGATGTTACCAGTAGAGGTCCAAGGCGGAGATGGTTTTTAATTTTTGTCAATCTGCATTTTCTTTAACGATTATGGATTGCTTTGGTGTAGAGAGAGATGCTCATACAACAGGTAGATGGAATTACGCTCCTTACTCCTAGTCTACCGTTAACTACAGGCGCGCCTTGCTTTACGGCGCTTTGCCCATACTGCATTTTCCAGAGATTGAAGGCTTACGGCAACCCTGTGTCAAGCAAGTCCGCTGGCACCATTTTCCCAATGGCATTTGCTCACTTCGTGTCTCCGTCACATTCTGGTAATCCTAGCAACAGTTTAAACTTTTTCATTATTGTATTTGCATGGTGATCTGTGGTCAGTGATTACAACTCACTGAAAGCTCAGATGATGGTCAGTATTAGTATACTTTAGCAATAAAGTATTTTTAAAATAAGATACGTACGTTGTTTTTTAAAGATATAATGCTATTGCACACTTAAGAGACTATACAGCAGTGTAAACATAACTTCCATATGTACCAGGAAACCAGAACATTCATCTGACTCACGTGGTGGTGGTGGTCTAGAACTGACCCTGCAACACCTTTGAGGTGTGCCTGTCCTTACAACCGTTCGTAGTTCTGAGTCTAGCATCAGAACTGCAGAAAGGCATTTATCATCTCTAAGATCCGTCTTCCACGTACTTCCACAAATAGGCTGTTTTAATTATGAACAATAAGAAAAGTACATTTGACTACATCTCCTTTTCTGCACTGAAGAAAATTTTGGGGAGCAAAATAACAACTCAAGCTCACTTGGCTGATATGCCACATCTTTTTTTTTTTTCTTAAACAATGATGAACCACAATTTTTATTACTCAAAAAATAAGAGGCCTGTTTTTATCCTACCTCCAAATCATCTTGGTTTTCTCATGTCTCAGTAGCTAAGGTAGAAGGTGATATTCCTCCAAATATCTAGTCACCCAGATTTGGAGGATTAAGCTTGGGCTCACTTAGACAAGAGGGCCACAGAGACCCCTTAATGGGCGGCCAGGGGGCACAGCAGAGGACAGACAGACACAACAGCAGACCAGACGCCCTCATCCCACGCCCTGGGCCAGCCTCAGCGCTCCCGAAAGGGGAAGGGCCGGTAGCGATGAGACGCCGGCCCTCCAGGGCGTCCGCATGAGCCTCCCTCCCGCGTGAGGCACACTAGGGACCTCGTGTGTGCCTAGCTCTGGATGGATTCCTGACATTTCGGATCCACGTAAGAGATGGCGAAGAATAAAAATTTCAAAAACGTTTCTTCTATATGTTATCTGTCCGCACCTAAGTGTGGGTACGTGGGTGTTACCTGGTTTGTGGCTTCACGCCAGTCCAACATCACAAAATTCAAGGGCCCGATCACATCCCGTTTCAAAACCAGAGATGAGTTACCCTTAACATGCTCGTGTCCCTGAGTCAGCTACTGAGGCTCTGGAGGGAGAATAAGCCTTGGAGGGCAGCAGACTTTTAACCGGGATTATGATTACTGGTGGGAAACAATGCAAAAATCAAATCACTTCATAGATAAAAAGAGGTGGTAAGAGCTCAGCTTACTTTCATGGCATTTGATCCCATAAACGTCAATGTTCGGATCGAACTCCCCCGGGGCCAAAGGCGGTGAGCTGTTGAGCGTGTTTCCGGGACTGTCCGGAGGGGTTCCCACGGGGTGGGTGCTGTCGCTCTCCCCCTCCTCTTCCCCGTCGTTCTCCTCACACTCCACCTCCTCCTGCTCGGCTCGCTCCACATCATGGATTCCCACCAGCAGGCTGTAGTCCATGAGCTTCAACTGGGCAAGAAACTGAGGGTGGGAGGCAGCAGGGTCAGTCAGGCCTTCAAACCCCAGATCTGGAGAAAACAAGCTCAGGAGAACGCACACGGGGGGAAGGCTGTGAGCCAGGGGGCGGCAGAAATGAGAAGAGTGTCTCCCCGAGAGGCGGCCAGCCAGGAGCCTCCTTTGTGATGCTCTCCCAGCCCCGCGGAAGCTTCGCGGGCCGAAAACGGAGCCCCACGCCCTGGGCCGGCCCGGCGCTAGTAGTATTTTCCCTGAGACGCCAAGCTGGATGCCGAGAGGCGGGCACACATCCCGTGGAGGCTGGATTACCCCAGAGAGCACAGCACATGGCTGGCAAGGAGGGAAGAGAGCTGCTCTCCCAACACCTAAGACTGGCCGAGGGGAAAGACCAGGGGCCTCCCAAGTGGCTTCCGGCAGTGTCTTGTGAAAGCACTTGGAAATTCAGCACGCTGGGCCGAGGACGTGAGTACGCTGTCCGTCCCCACTAAGTAAAAGCCCAAATGTCCCAACCGACCGGCAAACGCCTGTGTCAGCGCTCGGGTGAGTAACACAGTCCTGTCCTGCTCAGGTTTCCTTCTGGAAGCGGGGAGACCGGAGGAGCTGAGGGCGGGTCCACTTCGCACGAGGCAGCACAGGCCCAGGACCCCCGTCCCGTTCCAGCCGCGGGTACAACGGAATGTGGGCCGAGACCTGGCTCCGAGGGTCAGCCTGCCTCTCCTACTCCTCTCTGGACTTCTCACGCCATTTTTCTTTTCTCTTCTTAGGAGACGCACCCAGACACGTGTTCTAATCGCTCCGTTAAAGCGTGGCTAAGAACTGAGGGCAAAACGTGCTGGCCCGTCTGCTGGCTAAAACCCCACAGCTCCCCGGTCCCCACCCAGCTGGCTCCGCACAGGGTCCGGTTCTGCTCCCAGCCCGTGCCCATGGCCCAAGAAGACGCAGGAGCCCGACTCTCGGAGGGCCTGATGCCACCCTCGTTCGGTGACGCGGAGCGGCCAGCTGGCCTCCGGCCATCCCGGCAGAAGTTGGGACATGAACTTGCTTACACAAAGGGCAAGCACGTGAAACCACCGGTCTTGGAGTCCTGGCCGAAAACGAGTGACACGAAATGCATTTGTGGAGACCTGCAGGAACCACCCCCCCCCCCGCCCCGGCCCCCCAGCCTGTAGGGAAGCAGCTCAGTGAGCCGAAGGAGAAGCCATCCCCCCTTGAAGACCAGGACGGGACCTCGCGCGCCAGCTGTGCCCAGAGGCCTTCCGTTCCTCACCGGCCCAGGCCGCCTCCTGCTCTCCTCTTTCTTAGCTCCCATTTCCATGTCTTCCCACCACGAATCCCCTGGGGCCAGGCTGACGCTTCCTCATTGAAGCTCAGGGGGAAAAAAAAAAAACCACACAAATCCTCGTTTAGGCATGTAAGCAAGGTAGGAGAACCCTACGTGCAGACCCTTTGCCAAAAGAGTACTCCGTGGCCAACGGGTACACAAAAAGATGCTCCACATCACTCAGCATCAGGGAAATGCAAATCAAAACCGCAGTGAGGCGGTCACACCTGTCGGAATGGCTGGTGTCAAAAAGACGAGATAACAGGTGTTGGCCAGGATGTGGAGAAAAGAGAAGCTTGTGCACTGTCGGTGGGGATGTAAGTCGGTGCGGCCAGCATGGAAAACGGTATGAAAATGCCTCAAGGAATTAAAAACAGAACTACCCTACAATCCGGCAATCCCAGTTCCGGGTGCATATCCACAGGAAACAAAACCATTATCTCGAAGATATATCTATACTCCCATGTCCGCCGCAGCATTATTCATAATAGCCAAGGTATGGAAATGACCTAAGTGTCGGTGGATAACTGGATCGAGAAAATGGGGTATATGTACACTGAGGAATGTTGTTTCATCTTAAAAAAGAAAGAAAAATTCTGTCACTGTGAACCTGCTGGGCGTTACGCTAAGCGAACTAAGCCAGACAGGAAAAGACAAATACTGTGTGGTATCACTTATGTGTGTCTGTATGTTGGCGGGGGGGGGGGGGGGGTTGAACTCATAGAATCAATAGAAAAGTGGTTGCCAGGAGCCGGTGGGGGGTGGTGTGGAAGAACTAAGGAGAGCTGGTAAAAGGGTACAAACCTACAGCTATCAGATGTGTAAGGTCTGAGGATCTAATGCACAACGTAGCGACTGTAGTTGGTAACACCGTGTCGCGTATAACTGAAAATCGCTAGGAGGGTAGGACTTAAACGTTCTCACAAGAATAAAAAAAAGTAAGTATCTGAGGTAATGGCTGTGTTCCTAACTTGATGGGGGAATCCTCTGACGATGGATACATACAGCAAATCACCACCGTAAACACTTTAAATATTTTCTAATAGTATTTGTAAGTAAGTGTTACTTACTTGTTACAAAAACCAAAAAAAAAACCCAAAACCACCAAACAGTAACAAAACACAGTGCTGGTTCTCATGCCTTGAATCAATTTTCTGGGCCCGAGAGAGAGAGAGAGAGAGAGAGAGAGAGAGGAAGCTCCTGTTCCTCCCATGGTATTCCCCAAACTCCCCCTTTAAAGTAATCACAGAACCACCTTTCTGGGCCCACCTCGCTCAGCTAGATTTGTCTGGCGGACAAAGACTGCTCATCGTGCCGTGGCCCCTGGCAGGTGCTGGGCTTTGGGGTGACCAGGGACTCACGTGGGCAACCGTCCCCCCTCTGGAGTGAATGACAACGCGGTAAGACCCGTGAATTTTCTACCGAGGCGCCCAGCCGTGTAGCCAGATCCGGGTTACTTGGTCTGCTCCCCCACGGACCTGCATCTCCATGGATGTGGAAGAGAACCAGGTGCTGTGGGGACAGAGACAGCTGGCCTCCAGGGACTCAAAGCTAAGAAGTCGTGAATTCAGGATCCCGCGTTCAAAGTTCGTTCTTTACACTGCGCTACGCTGCTTCTGGAAACTGCAGTAAGGCAGCTCTTCCCAAGTCGTGTTCTTTGCCACACTAGTACGGAAAAAATGAGTTCAATCAAATGGTTCCTGAGGAGGACGGCCTCCCCGAGTTGCCAAGCACAGGGAGTCTCCGCGAGGGGTAGGTAGGTGCCGGCGGCACGCCTCACAGCGGCTTCATCTCGGAACCGCTTTACCCCCCTTCGGGGCACCCCGTGGAAACAAAAGACGTCTGGGAAACACTGAGGCCGAAACACCCAGTCATGCTCTCTGACCCCGCCCCGGGTGTGGCGGGCAGGATGCTCCCCAGTGGCCACGGGCCGCAGGAGGCTGTGGCGGGGGCGGAGCTCAGCCTCTGGGCTCCTGGACATCAGGGTCCGTGCGTCTCTGTCTCCTGGCCCCTCCCACGCTGGGCACGGTGCTTGCAGAACACGCGGCACGCTGGCAGACACCGGGTTCCCGGCTGGCAACATCTCCCCGGAGAGCCCACGTGTTGGGGGGGGGGGCACGGGTGGGGGAGCGGGCTGCTGGACCGGGCCACAGGCCCCCTTCTTTCCATCCCCGCTCCTCCCGGATCCTTGGAAGGTCCCTGAGAAGCGGTAAGGGTCCCAGTCCTCTGGGAAGGGAGGATCTTTTCAAAATGCGACTCCGCCCCTGCTCTAGGCCTTGCAGTGAGTGCCTGTTCCTCGCGGGGCAGAAGCAAACTCGAACACGGCCCAGCGGACCAGGATGGTTGGCCCCATTACCTCTTTGGCTGCCTTGAAGCCTGTTCCAGCCCACCTTCTGGCCCTCTCGCCTGCACCACTTGACCTTCAGATCACAACTGCAGGGACGCTTGCTTCTGGAAGCCTTTCCCGATTCTTGCCTGGGCCACGCCCCTAAAGCACGGGCGTGGAGGGACCCGCACACTTTTCCCTAATGACACTTGGCTGGGCTGCACATTTACCTTGTTAGATTATTTGGGGAGGCTTCTGTCTTCCCTGAACACGGCAGCCCCGTGAGGGCAGGGGCTCTGGCTGTTTCTGCCCTCACGGTATTCCCGGTGGTAAGGTGTCAGTATTTTAAAAAAAAAATTTTTTTTTTCAACGTTTATTTATTTTTGGGACAGAGAGAGACAGAGCATGAACGGGGGAGGGGCAGAGAGAGAGGGAGACACAGAATCGGAAACAGGCTCCAGGCTCCGAGCCATCAGCCCAGAGCCCGACGCGGGGCTCGAACTCACGGACCGCGAGATCGTGACCTGGCTGAAGTCGGCCGCTTAACCGACTGCGCCACCCAGGCGCCCCTAAGGTGTCAGTATTTACTGGACAAGTGAATGAGATGCCTGCTGCCTCTTCCCCAGTCCCCTTGAACTCCCCCTAATTTCCCTAACCCCTTTCTCGAAGAAACAACCACCCAGGGCAAGTAAAAACATAGAACAAAGCAACAAAGAAACCTTTGAGACTGTAAGAGGAAGCACCTACTCCAAGCAAAGCGAGAGCATTTACCACGCATCTTTGCCAGAATGGAACCTCGCTATCATGTAAGTCTACTGTTTGACCTTCAGAAGGCTGGTTTTCAAACACCCTTGCAGGTGTGCCTGATTACAAAAGTAAGGGGCTGCCTGTAATGAACTTGCAAAGGTCAGCCGGGAAGGGAGGATGACCACGGCCGGGCCGCTGCACTCAGTGGAGTCCCTCCCCCGCCATGTCCGCGATGCTCACGACGCCAGGCCCTTTCCTGGGCCTTAGCTCTGCAGTCAGACTAGTGCCCAGGCTCCCTTTTTCAGTAAGGAAACATCTGTATCCAAAATACAAAACTGAAACCATCGGTGAAACATAATATGCATCTCTAGGTAAGAAGCTGCTCTCCGGGCTCCTGGGTGGCTCAGTTAGTTAAGCGTCTGACTTCGGCTCAGGTCGTGATCTCAGGGTTTGTGAGTTTGAGCCCTGCATCGGGATCTCTGCTGTCGATGCAGGGCGTGCTTTGGATCCTCTGTCTCCCTCTCTCTCTGCTCCTCCCCCACTCTCTCTCTCTCAAAAATAAATAAATATTAAAAAAAAAAAAAGAGCATAGGTCTGGGAGTCCGATGGGAAATGAAACCTTATTTCTCTCACTAGCTCTGTGACTTGACAAGGCGTCCACCTCCCCAAGCCTCAGTTATTCTAACTGTACGATGGGATAATCCTGCTAAGCTCATAGGGGTGTGGAGAGGAAGGAGAGAGGATGCGTAGCTCAGGTGTTGGAAACCGGGCCTCGCTCGCAACAATGGAGGCTGTTACTGTGGTTGCCCGTGTCGCTGTTATTCTGGTAGAAGGCTTTTTTCCATCAAGTCCGCACTTTAAACACGGGGACAGGTTCAAGTTAGGTGGGCCAAGAGGAGAAGCGCGGAGAACCCCACTAGCTCTTGTCTCCATAAAGTTTATTTTCCATCTCTTCTGAAGTAGAGGGGAATGTGGCAATAAACTCGAGAGTCTCGGTAGAGAAGATTCCCGCCGGGTGTCGCAAAACTGCCGTGGCCTGGAAGATTCCACGTGGCTGGGGAGGGGTTAAAGGTTCCACTGCTGGGGTTTGCCTCCAGCTGACATTAAGGAACTTAATACACATCTGTTCTGGTTTCTCTTCATCCCTTTAAGCTTCTGACTCAAATTTATTGATTTTTTTTTAAGTACGTAAGATTTCGAAGCATGACGATGTTTAAATCTCTATAATCTTCAGGCCCCTTGCCTTTCCTCCTTTTCCAACTTGTTAATAATTATCTGCCAGACCTTTGGGCTTCTTTTCCCCTCAGAAGATCCCACCTAATCTGATTCTTTCATGATTAATCCCTCTTTATGCCAAATCTCTGAGCTAGTGTCTTCTTCAAGATCTTTAACGAGTCCTGTCGCAAACCCTTCTAGAAAACGACGTGGTCAGGGAGCCATTAATAAGCTCTCTTTCGCAACGTTTAAACTCACTTTATTTATTAACACATTCGCTCTACTGAATTACCACCTCCTAACACATCTGCAATGCAGAATTAAAATTCCAACCAGCACTATTTAACAGTTCTCTTGTATCACTCGTTAAAAGTTGTAATAATCCTCCTTTGGGTCATTTATCGGGAAACAAAATCTTAACTGCGATCTCACAGACGTTTCTCATCTGCGTTTCGTATCAGAGCAGTTTAGGAGCGTGGCCTGACAGCCTCAAATCCCAAATTAGTCTCTGGGCTTGGTTTTCCCATCCACAGACTGGGTAACAACAGCACTCAT